TATCCTAACATCAGTGACCCCCTCTACGCTCACTGGGAGACCTGGCCTAATGTTTAATTTATTTGTGGCCTTCCAAAAGTTTTTAAAATCATTATTTGTATGATGTGATGCCAATCGATCCAACTTCAGCTGTTCCTCGTTATTTTGGCACCATCTTAGACGCGCTTTAAATATCGTCTACTTTTACACATCTCCTCATATATAGGACCGGATTTAGGCTTGTTATAATTTAACCAAATTAGAAACTTGAGTCTAGCCTCCCTATGAACCCACCAATATGTCTGTTCCATCCCATTATGTGTTTTTGTTTAGTTGGTCTTTTGCTCCGATTATTGTTACAAAGAATAGCTGACTGGCTCAATGCAAAAACAATATCACTATACAGACGATCTATGACTATTCTATGCTCTAAGTTATTACACAAGTGATCACAACAGTCATGCAATTCCTGAGGAAAATTTATATCCCTTAGACGTTCATGACAATATTGTGTGTATAATTTTATTTCATCCAAATTTCTGTGAATCCATTTTACTTCATTTTTACTGTTATATTTATCCATAATACAATTATATTTTGGTTTTATTAAATCTAAGTTACACTCTATAACTAAAGGATAATGATCAGACCATAGGACGTCTTGTATAACAGATACATTAACAATTGTATTTAATGCAGAATTCGTGACCATGCAATGGTCTAGCCAACGTGCTGACCCGTGCGTTTCACTGATAAAGGTGAAAGTATTAGATGTAATACCCAGCTTGTCTATATCCGCGCATATCCAATTTTGATCGAAACAAAAAGTCATTAACTCACTATAAAAAGGTTCGCCAGGGTGTGCATTAAAGTCACCTAATACGTAAACAGATTCAATGTCATCATTATTAATAATAGCACTCACCGCGCTAAGGCATTCTGTGAAATCCGTCATATTATCCGATTTATTCGTGGGCATATAAACACTAAATACTAAACATGATCTACGCTCCATTCGTATTTTTATCGCACAAACACGCGGATTATCGCACGGAACAACCGACACATTCTTAAAGACACTTTTATTCCACAATAAAGCAACACCTCCGTGCGGTCGCCCGCGTAACATACCTGCCGTCGTGTCAACTGCGGACGTGCCCGTGCATCCGAAATCCTTATCAATACTACTGAGATACGGTATGTCATCTGGTAGTAGCCAGGTTTCTTGCAATGCTATTATATGAGACGTACGACATAACTCGCGGATACCTTCGATGGAGCGCTTTACGCTTTTACAATTAAAACTGACTAGTTTGATTANGGTAGTAGCCAGGTTTCTTGCAATGCTATTATATGAGACGTACGACATAACTCGCGGATACCTTCGATGGAGCGCTTTACGCTTTTACAATTAAAACTGACTAGTTTGATTACGTAATTATCATTCATGATGCTCACTGTGATAGGCCGATCACAGTAGTATTACTGTGCATATCAGCTGTTCTATGCTTAAAATGCACGAAACGACGATATACCCGGTGGGAATGGTTTGTGCCTTCCGACTGTGCCCCGATATAGCTAATGACATTTTTGGATTAAAAAATGATTTTTGATGTATACAGAGACAGAGTGAATATACTTTGTTGGACACCAAAACACAATTAACATTAAAAAAACAGTCAACAAACACTTATAGTTGTAAAAAAGGCGGTCTTATCGCTAAAAGCGATCTCTTTCAGACAACTTTATTTACAGTCATTCTGAAAAGATAAAGAAAGATGCATTTGCGTAATTACTGGTGGTAGGATGTCTTGTGAGTCCGCACGGGCAGGTACCACCACTCCGCCTATTTCTGTCGTGGGTGGATGGGGCAGCCGTTGTAACTATACTTGAGACTTTTGAACTTATATCTCAAGGTGTGTGATACATTTAGGTTGTAGGTTGTGCTCCAGTAATCACTTAACACAAAGTAGGCTGTGAGCTCGTCCACCCATCTAAGCATTAAAAAAATAAAGAAAGATACAGTAGTTTTTTTGCGTTGTATTGTTAACAATGCATTATTAAAGAAAATACATAAATACAATAAATAGATACATATTATATTAGACTATATTTTTAGGAACACATACTTTTTTCCATATTCGCTCTCTATATATTTTTTTTGGGTGTGTGAAAACAATTAGTGTACATGCATGGATCGATCATAATTAAAACGCTATTTATATGCAAAATTATTTTAAAAATAACGTTTAACTTTCGAAATACTTAAGATGCCGGCTCGCTTGACACGTTTTAGACTACTATTTTTTTTTTTTGTTTTGAAGGTGAAATCACACTTACATAACAACAATATTAGAGATACGAAAGTTGTTTGTTCATTTATCATTTTTGCACTAAACAGCTGAGAAACAGACAGGCTTTAGTCTCGAGTTGAAATGTTTTATTTTTCAATTTCCAGCATTATGATATTTTACAGATTTCACGAATAAACCTCAACCATGTCTACGACTTGTCAATGCTCAATAATGATCAGCAACAATACAAAATAATAATTAATGTTTCACAATTTTGGAACCTTTAAATGTTTTTTTTATTTTCGATTTCCAGCATTATGATACTTTACAGATTTCACGAATAAACCTTAACCATGTCAACGACTCGTCAATGCTCAATAATGATCAGCAACAATAGAAAATAATAATAAATGTTTCATAATTTTAGAATCTTTAAATGTTTTTTTTATTTTCGATTTCCAGTATTATGATACTTTACAGATTTCACGAATAAACCTTAACCATGTCAACGACTCGTCAATGCTCAATAATGATCAGCAATAATAGAAAATATTATTAAATGTTTCACAATTGACGAACTTGGACTAAAATTTGGACTACCTATTTTTCTTGGATGCTAATATTTTTTTTTTTTTAAATGGTTACCTGGACGTGATTGATTTTGATGTACAAGAACGCGAAAGTGATAATCGGAATGCTGCATTAAGTGCTCATCCGGCCGTGGCATCAATTTGTCTGTATTAACGTTGCCATGTCAAAAGTCAAACTTGACCGACGCGATACGAGAACATTCAACAAGGCAGTTCTGTTTTTTTTTTGTTTGTATGTTACGTCACCCATCATAAATTTATTTTCCATTTATTCTAGATTTTTTTTTTGTAATGTCCTCAACAGTAAAAAGAAACAAAACCCAAACAATGCCTCAAAAAGATCTTTATCATAGAACGAAAATTCATTTCAACCTTGCACGAATCATTTGAGCAATTTTCCCAAAGTAATCGATAGCGTGAGAAAAATAACAGTTCAAAATTGATTCGTAACAGCATGTCGAATGGTTTGTAAAATCGCTGTGTTTGTTACTCTTGTTAGATTCAATATTATTATTTTTTAAACCCAATGAATTTCTTCGTCTCCAAATTTTACTACGGTTAGATTGATTTGATTAAAAAAGAGTCCAATAAAATAAATTTCCTACGTTGATTTCCCCAAAAAATTAGCCTATAACAAAAATTGCTTGCTTAATTTATCCTGTACAGGATTGTTACTCAAGAAATAATAATATCGTTTTTTACACTGTAAATAAATTGTAGTAATTTATTTATATGGCATAAAATTCTATTTTTCGTTTGTTTGTCTGTCTGTCGTCTTGTTGATCTAAGCTGGTGACCTTGTCTATTATGTCAGGGTTTCCGGACGCAAGCACGAACACGGACGCAGTATTTTTGTTCAAGATATTCGTATACCACGTGGCATACAAAGACCACGTGAATTATTCGCCTTTATCTTGTATGTTTGTTTAGTACTTAGAACACACAAAATCCTATGTTGAGACTACGATTATTTAACTTATATTAATACAAATATAATTCCCAAAATCCATTCTACTGTCATATCATTTTATAATTTTATACATAGATATGTATTTTACTAAAACTTTTGAATATGCAAGTGATATTAAAATCTATATATTAATACGTGAAGCAAAAACTTTGTATCCCTTTTTACGAAAATTGCTCGGACGGAGGAGTATGAAATTTTCCACACTTATAGAGAATATAGAGAAGAAGTGCACAATGCTAATATTTTTTTTAAATAATGCATAAAAGGTACATTAAATCAATAAAGAAAACATTACACACACTACATACCATGTATTTGACGCACACACGCATGCATACTATTTATTGTCAAAATTTTGTTCTTGACGTCTGTTGTCAAATTGAAAATAGATTAAATACTGTTTGTCTTTATTAATATTTTTTTATAGTGTAGCCTTGGGGAAATTTGTGATTATAGAAGTATAAAATAGAATCATAATAGTGTACAAACTAAAAATTCCAATTAATTATAGTCGAATTTCGACTACTGGGGGACCACTAGTATAAGTAAATACCTTAAGTTGTACCTTGTAAAGATTGAAGAAACCTTGTAAAGGTGGATCAACTAATATGAAGATGGTTTGAATGATATTCCGAAGAACATAAAATTTTTGGAGCATTATTATCACTGAATGCTACCCTAGAGACGGTAAAAGGACCAGAAGATGGAAGAGATGAGATGGGAGGATCAGATAAAGCTCACAGCCGGTCCTAACTGAAAGAGGGTTGCTAAAGATAGACATCAATGGTTAGAAGATGTCCGAGCAACAGGCACACTAAACTAAGACACACTCTGTAAAATATATGAATACAAAAACTAAATCAAGAGTCCTAAAAGCTTAGGATAATATCTTAAGTTAACAGTGAAGCGTTAGATTACGTAAAGTATTTAATGTTGACTTTGACACTTAATTGGCCGTGACGATACAATGCCAGGGGCAGAGTTGATGTGTCCAAACAAATGTCAGCTGTTGTTCGAACTTCAAACCACTGGTGGTAGGACCTCTTGTGCGTCCGCGCGGGTGGGTATCATCCTGCCTATTTCTACCGTGAAGCAGTAATGCGTTTCGGTTTGAAAGGTGAGGCAGCCTTTGTAACAATACTTGAGACCTTAGAACTTGTCTCGGGGTGAGTGGCGCTTTTATGTTGTGGATGTCCATGGGCTCCAGTAACCATTTAACACCAGGGGGGTGTGAGCTCGTCCACGCACCTAAGCAATAAAAAATAAACAAAAGAAGCAACAGAAACATAATATCATATCGGGTGCGAAAGTAGTGTACCCGATAACAAAGTCATAGTGAACTAGAAAGGCGAACGTTAGTTCATAGAGCCGGTCAGACCTACTACAGCTTATAATACAGTCTTTTTTTTTTTACCAACCACCAAACCAAAAGATTATACGTGTGCTACGTACGTAATTTTTTAATTTCATTATTGCGTAACGAACGCGAGCTGCCGAGATCTAATCCAATTACAGTGATAGTGAAAGTTACGTCCTTGGCACTAGGTTACCGCACCGAATCCGGTCCCTGCTAACGTTCGGTCACTACAGTGTGACGTGAACGAATACTCACCAATAGTCAGGTAGCTTTGTGTCGCTTTAGTAGGTCAGTAGATCGGATCAGGCGCATACGTCAACTGATTTTAAAAAAACGAACGCGTTGGCGCCTCAATCGTTTTTGGTAGCGCTAAGAAATCAGTAACTGTACTTTTTTTTGTATCCATTTTAATATTGAACTAGATGGCCACGGATAGTTACAGCCCACCTGATTTAAGCAATCATTTGTATTGTATAGCGGCTCACGGGCAACCGAATCACGCCCTTAAAAAAAAAGCATAGTAACTTTTCGCATTAGAAATAGGCAGAGTTGTATTAATATTTCATTTCAGCTTACTATTTGTTCCAGCTCACGATTTCTTGAAAGTAATATTGATTTTCTTTTATAACACTCGTTTGCCTAACGACATTTGCAGCTAAGCAACGTACCAACATAATTATACATGTTAACACGCTTTTTCCCTAGGTACCTATTTGCTGGTAGCCTAAGGGGCTATTAGAGCTACGCGCGGATGAGTAGGTGAGCTCACGGGCTCAATATGAGAGAATTTGGTAATTTTTTTTATTGCTTAGATCGGTGGACGAGTTCACAGCCCACCTGATGTTAAGTGTTTACTGGAGCCCATAGACATCTACAACGTAAATGCGCCACCCGCTAGATATAAGTTCTATGGTCTCAGTTTAGTTACAACGGCTGCCCCACTCTTCAAACCGAAACGCATTACTGCTTCACGGCAGAAATAGGCGGGGTTGTGGTACCTGCCCGTGCGGACTCACAAGAGGTCCTACCACCAGTAATACTAGCCCTAGCAAGCGCAATGCTTCGCAGAATCTACCATGGGATCAGTTTCGCGACCCACTGAGAAGATCCGACGAGAAACATCCGGCGTGAAACTCATTAACACGCCTCTATTGTTTTAACGACATCTTTTTTCGCTGTTACATAAATGTATAATAGTTGGAACAATGATTCCGAGTGCGTTCAAAGCGGTTGCCATTGAAAATAAATGCCGTCTCAGAGACCATGTATTATCTCCGCCCTCGCACACTTGATGGGAAGTTAAACGCGAACGATAACCTAGCGAGTCGGTCACGCGTCGTGGTGCACGACATTATACGCTTATTCACTGCACTGTACGTACGTATACTTGTACTTTCAATTGCACTACACTGTACACTTATGAATTCGATTCGAATTTTGAAATTCGTGTTCTTTTGAAAAAAATACGTTTTATTGTTTCGTTAGTGACGGTTGGTTTTTTTTATAACAAATATCGCTGTAAATTAATGAATTCAAATTGATAAAAGACGATTCGTACGCTACCTATCAACGTACCACCGTATTCTTACCTTCGCGTACCTTATCTTTGGTAAAATATTATCCGATAATGCCAACAACAACCGCAGTAAGCTTTCAGATGAATCTAACTAAAGCCGTAAAAACCAATTAGAAAAAAAAAAAAAAAACAAAAAAAAACTCACAATTTCTTTTCATTTTAAAATGCGCTTTGAGATTTTATTAATGCACTTTAGTAAAGTAAAATTTGTATGGGCTTCACATACATACATGCCGATCTAAAATTTCGAGGTTGAATTTCAATAAATCATTTGCTACAACTTCTTTCGCAAAGATGACGGAAAAATAAATCGCTTTTTCAATTTTCTCAATTAACGCGAAATGTAACTGAAATGACATATAACAGAAGTGTTATTATAATTCGGTAAGGGTAATGAAGATCATTTAGTAATTCATACAAGCACGCTATTACCGGAAGTACCCAGAGATAAATTTTGATCGTTCACTTAAAAATCGTTAGCCTTAGCCGTGTTTTTTTTTACAAACAGCTCAACGTTTCACTTCATTTTTATTTATGTAAGTTAACCACGTACTACTTGGCTTATCTCCAAAAAGTGAAACACTCGAAGCTTTGCAATAAAGACACAGAATCACGTAATGTACACAAAGTTAGCACGTACGGATAGTGTAACAGAAAAGTTAAACTATAACGCGCGTTCCAAAACGTGAATAGACCACGTGTGTTCCCCCTTGAATTTCTTTTTTAAATTTTGTAAAACATTCTTTTTGGACAGCCGCGCCGGTTATTTGATTTTGAATTTGGAATTGCTCTAGAATTTTCGCGATAAAAAAAATTATGTCACAATTTGATATTCAAATGTGTACTTTAAAATAACTATGCTTAAGAGTTGTGGTTGACTATAAATTCGAGAACACTGAGAAGCAGTGACTAGGTACGTAAATTTGTTCTGAAATTTACCCAAAACATTATATTTGTATAATCAGGTCAAATCATTACCAGTTCGAACGATTTTGATATTCGAATTTTAATTTCAATAAAAGTAATTGAGTGTGGCTTTTGCATTGAAAATTTGAGTACGTTACAGAGATACGTAGGCGGGACACTCATTCCAGTCGATCAAACGTCGTCATATACTCATAACGTATATATTTGATAACCAGAATAGTGACTAAATGGGAATAACAAAAAAAAAATTTGACAAGCATAGTAGAAAACGTTTCTCAAATTTTTCTCTAATTTATTTTATAGTTTAAAAATTACGTTAATTTCTATAAGTCCGCATCGAAGTAACGACGCTAAGGATAATGTCAATTTTGTACAAGTTAATTGGTGCTTAGAAGACTTTCACTATGCAACAAACTTGTTAGTACAGGTTCCTGGTAACGCCCGGCCGGTATTACCATGCTTAATTGAATTTAAAACCCGGTCTGCATCGGCGTGGTGTATTCGAAATAATGACCCTACATACAGCAACTACAATTTATATGTAGAGATGAATTTTAGGTTTCTTATATCGAGGCGTTAAATGCTATTTTCCTTAAGCGACACTTTTGCAACTTTACAGGAGAGTCGTTAAAATTTGGAAATGTGGAATAAAATTTGGAATACCTACATATCATTACAAAAATAAAACTTCTTCAGCTATTTAAATGGAGTACACTTAATTGAGGTTCAATTAAAAACATCGAACTGTTGATTCTTCTTCTTCTTATTCCAGTGCCTCTTCAATCCTGAAGGTTGGCCGTCAGCTTCCTGTATTCATTTCTGTCAGCAGCCAGCCGGAACAGCTGTTCGACGGAGGCAATACCGGTCCACTCCCGGATATTCCGGAGCCATGACTTCTTTCTTCGCCCAGCACGTCTCTTTCCGTCCACTTTGCCCATCATTATGTTATGAACATTATGAACTGTTGATGCTGATAGTAAATAAAATGCACCAGTAATTACAAAGATAAATGTCGCGTATTAAGCGAAATGTCGCTTAAACCAAATAGCTTTTCATTCCTCAAT